AGATCGAAGGCGTCAGACCTGATAGACAGATGACCTCCTATAAAAAGGAACTGAGGTGCCCAGAGCCACGTCTAGGTAGGGCAGAGGGCTGTTCTCTGGGGCTCCCTGCCTTTAGGGCTTCGTGCTGCGCAGGTGCGTCTGCGGTCTGTTGAAATAGCACCACTGGGGGCAGGAGAGGGTTTCGCCCCTTGGGTCCCCCCGCCCCCCCCCCCCAATGCTGCCATGGAGTTCCCAATCAGAGTCCTCTTGTAATGCCTCTAAGAAAATGGAATTACCTTGTGTTACCTTTGAAACACCTCAAAACACAAATAGAAGCAGGAATACCTAACTTTGGCCCATCGGCCTGGCCCTCGAAGGGCACCACTGAGAGCTGAGATGCACGTTTCCTCCCCAGATGCCAGGGCTGCTGGGAACGAGCAAGTTTCCCCCTTGTGGGAGCGAGGCCCTTCCTGCCAGGGAAGCCATCGGCGGATTTCGCCAAGGCTTGTGCCCAGCCTGCCCGCCAGGAAACTGCCGTCCTGCTCCCTCCCAGCTTGAGTGGAAGGGGACAAGAGTGCCCCCAAAAGGGCGCCTCCTGTCCCGCTGCCCTTCTGCCTGTTACCCAAAGCTGCTGCAGTCTGGGAGGGGGAGGCTGAGATCATAAAGGGTGCTGTTGCTGTGGGAGAAGCCTGCCCTGGCCTAGCAACTGAGTAGAGGCAGACCCCTCCCTTCCTCCTGCCATCGCAGACGCAGGTTGGCATGCCCCTCCTTGGGTTCCTGGCAGTTCTGATGGCTTCTGGGTCTTCTGTCGCAAACATGGCCCCCCCTGGGGTGGGGAGGAAGCACCAGGATCCGCTGGTGCTGTTTGGGGGTAGGTGCCAAGCCAGCTGGGGAGAGCCGGGAGGACCAACTGCTTCCAAGAGTCCACGGCCGCCCCATGGGGAGAATCCCAAATTTACTCCCCTGTGGGAACTGTTGGTGTGGCTCAGTGTCATTCCAAGGAGGGAAATTTACCGAAACTGGGGCTCTCGGTAGGCTCAGTGTGGACACTCCTGGCCCAGCCGGTCTCCACCCGCTGATTCTCCCTGCTCCGTCCCAGGGCCCACGGAACGGCCTTGGCTGGCTCCACCTTCTGTGCTGCCCCCTCTTCAGTCAGGAGTCCTTTCTTGCTTTGGAGCAAGGGAGCTGCTCTCGGGAAGGTTGGGGGCCCTTGCGGCTGCCCAGGGAAGTTAGGAGGGAGGGACCCCCAAGCAGAGCAGCCTCCCCAAAGGGAAGTTTGGCTGGTTGGGCACGGACTCTGGAGTCTGCTAGACGGTTGCTCGGGAGAGGCTGCATGATGCAAACCGCCAACTGTCAGACGTGGGATTGCAACATGGGGGCTTTGGGAACGGCTCCAACAGCCAGCCAGCCAGCCGTTCCCAGTGAGCTCTGGGCCCCTTTGGTAATCAGCAGGGGCCCAGGGAGAGGTCTGTTCCGGTTGCCTTGTCCAAGCTGAGCTTGGGCTGGCCCCGGCAGAGGGGGGGCCCTGGCCCTGTGGCCCCCGGAGCAAGAGCTTCCCTGGAGCAGAGAGGCCTGGCACAGTCCTCCCGTGCAGCCGAGGCTGAGCGGCGGGCCTGCTGTGGGGTCCCCATGGCTGCCCTCTCTTCCCTCAGTCCTGGATCCTCCCAGCGCCAGCCTATGCTCAGCGGTCCAGCTTGCAGACCGGCTGCCCTGCGGCTCCGGTCGGGTCAGCCACGGCGAGTGTTCCCACTGGGGCTGCTGCTTTGACCATCGGGACAGAGTGACCCCCTGCTATTACGGCAAGGCAGGTGAGCCCAGCAGAGCGGTGGCCCTGCGGCTCCAGGTGTGGGAGGGAGGCAGGCACCACCGTGGCCCCCGGCCAGAGAGAGACTCCAGGGAGCTGCAAGCAGGAGCGGAAACGCCTCCTTGGCGGAGGAGCCTCGCGAGAGGGAGCCCATTGCTCCCTTTCTGCACAGCCAGGGCCAGCGTTGCCTTTCGCAGACTTTCCTGTCCCCCAAGTCTTCTTTTGGCAGGACTCGGGGAGAGTCGCAGTCGCCCGCTCTGAATCAAAGGGGAGCTGTTTCCACTGGTTCTTCTGTCTGGTGCCTTTGGCCCTGGCCGACCAGCACCAGCTGCCCCGAACGGCCGGTCCAGGAAAACGCAACTTGTGACACGCTCTGGGAGCTGACAGCCCTAGCTGGGGAGGAGTCAAGGGGGTGACGGAGAGTGCAATATGGGCCCCTGAGTTGTTATGAGGGCCCCAAAGGGCCTGCTGGCAAATGAAAAGCTGAGCGGAAGGTAGAGGGATGAGTCGGGTGCCAGTTTCTCATTCCCTCCGCTTTGGGGGTGGAGGATGCAACCCTTCCAGGGGGCATCTTGCTGCTGCTGCCCTCCCTGCCCAGCACCGTGATGCCCAGAGCCTGGGGAAAAGGGTTCCGTGGGAAGGCAGAAGAAATGCAAACAGGCAAATTGGGCGAGGGGGTCAGATCCATATCAGGACCATGAAAGTAACTGGGAAGGAGATCCCTGGCTGTCTTCCTCCTCCTGGCTGGGCTAGACGTGTGTTCCAGTCAGAGAGCCACTGTCCCCCCCACCCTTCCGCCTCCAGGGAGGCCCCCCCGCCATGGCCTTGGCACGGGGCCCCTTCCTTCCTGCTTTCCAGTCCTGCCCAAGGCCCTTCTGGGCAAGGGGTGGGAGGAAAGCGGGCACCCGGAGCTTTGACCGGCAGACCCTCCCCTCCCTTCCTCCACTTTGCACAGTGACGGCACGCTGCACCCCGGAGGGCAGCTTCTCGCTTGCCATCTCCAGAGACGCCGTCCTCCCGCCACTCCGCTTGGATTCGCTGCATCTCCGGAGCAGTCGGGGGGGGCGCTGTGGGCCTGTGGCCAGGAACAAAATATTTGTCGTGTTCAACTTTCCACTTTCTGCATGTGGCACAACCTTCAAGGTAAGTGGGGAGGGTGTTACACAACAACAACCCTGTGAGGTAGGGTGGCCCGGAGGGGCCGATTGGCTGAAGGTCACCCAGGTTTGCTCCCGGGGCTGAAAGGGGGCTGGGACCCAGGTCTCCCAGCTCCTCGTTGACGTTCTCTTTGAGCTTTAAAATGGAAGGGGTTAAACAGAGAGAATGACAATTAATTTAAATTACTTAGACTGTTTTGATTATTGCTTTAGATCTACTTACAGCCACAGCTTGCTTTAATCTGGAAACCATCGGTTGCATAAGGCCAAATCCAAATGACGCAGAACATTGTTTTGGGGGCCTTAGAGCATTCCTAAACCAAGCCCCCCCACCACCACCCCAGCAGCAGTTGCAATCAGAGTCCAGCAATTCAAGGAGCAACAAAGCAGCTTCCTAACCCCGTGGCAGATGCCAGTCCGGAGGGGAGGGAAGGAAAGAGGAGACGTGAGCTGCCACCTGCTTTTAAATAGTTTCTGGCAACTAGG